TATTAAAATACTGTGATATGTAAGTATCACTGTATGTAGCATAGAATATGTATAAAATATAAAAGAACATGACAAAATAAAATTAATGTTTATATTTAACTAAATATTTGCAGAGAGTGATAAGATGGTTTGTATTTGGTGACTGTAGTACAAGTTTAAATCGTTCCTTTTTGTTCAAGTTTTGGTAATCACTGTTAATTTCTTTAAGGATATTATATATGTCATCTCTGTGTTATATTTGTCATTATTTCATTGACTGCATATTCAGTGAAAAATTGAATAAGCATACATGGGTTAATACATTACAGTTATTCTATCAATTGATATATCCATGTTCAGCAATGATGAGTTACACCAGACACATGACAAGAAAATAAAAGGAGGAGACGTTCATACCAGTTTCCATGGGAACTGTCTACATGCATATTCAATATTTTACCGCCTAGCATAAAACTAACCTTGAATAAAATAAGTAAAATTTATGTGTTCACTTGAAATAAGCTTTCTATACAAACAAAATCCACAGAAAATATAGCTACTACATTGAAAGAAAGCAAATTGTGTTCCATGATTTTTTGATGAAATCGCTGCGGTCGACAGATTCCTCTACAATGACAGGGTTTTTATCAAAAAATGAGCACCGTGACGGTGCCATAGATGGAGAAGACATGTCGACATTATGCAGCTTTTCTCAGCGAAACAAAATTTAGATTTACCATCGTCTTGCTAGGGATGGAAGTGTTTGCATGATCGAATCATTTTGATCGGTGCCATGGTTACAGGTTGTAAATTAGTGCTTTGAAATCATCAGTAACTTGTTTCCATAGTTCCCCTCGTTTTTCGAAAACCCTAAAGGATTTACTGAACCGGAGAATAAATGATTGGTTTAGTCGACAATGCTATAGAGACCTGCACATGTCGTATCGGCATTATTTCACCAACATCCAACAATAAACAAACAATCTTTCTTCCACATCTTTGCTGCATTAGTTTCACGCTCAGATCACGACTGTTTGTCATCCAACTGCAATATTGAACCGTGCTGGCCGCAAATAAAGAAACGCGCTTATTTTTTGTCGACATATAGCGTATCAGCTTGCCCTGGGGCTTGACATTAGCGAATGAATGGCAGATATAGTGGCTCTCCTGGGATATCGTTCTGATCGTGAACACTTCACGTATTTCCGGACACTATTGACTATTGTCATTTATCCGTGAATACGTATGTCCGCCTTCCACAAAAAGTGTGACTAGTACGAGTGTTATTTCAATCGATAGTAACGATAAATGAAAAGATTCAATAGACTGCATACACATGTACATGTGGTTCATCTGAATAGGAAAAGTCTCTTATTCTCTATTCTATTGCCTTTGAACAAATAGTATGGATAACATTAACGAATTCAGTTAGATATTATATGCTGTATAGACGTAGTAGAGTATAACACGAGTATGCGGTTTTTTAATTAATAGCTCAAGTACACCCAAAGGCAGTATAAGGGACGCATCGACCGTGTGTGTAGGGGGCAGTACGGCGAATGCGCGAAGGCAGGGTGGTGGTCGCACGCCTGTCAACGTGTGTAATTAAAATACTTTTAATAATTTCAGATTGTTTCTTTCACAGTAATTCGTATAATATATTCAGAATGCAGCCGGCTTACATACTCCTAATAGTGTTGGTGGTGTGTCAGACCTTACCAGTGAATGGCATCATGGATGACGTCATGAGGCGTGATGAGAAATTTGAGAGAGACGAAGTCCGCAGCCGAGTTAGTATTATGTTGGTCAA